CACAGTGTTCTGGACAGAACACTGAAAGGGCATGATGTTTTGGAGGAAAGCTTAGAGAAACCTTAGAGATCATAGTCTCTCATGCTTCACTTCGCAGATGAGGAAACTGCTACCCAGAGAAGCCACAAGACTTGTCCAAAGCCACTCAGCCAAGGCATGGCAGGACCTCTTCTCCCCTCCAGTCTCTTGGTTCGTCCACCCTTGCCTGTGATTCCATCTCTAAGCTTCCTCCCCGTGTTCAAAGTCTGTGTTAGGGACTAAAGGAGATAATAAGGATAATAGCAGCGAATACCTGTTCACCTACATAAAAAGTATATTACATGTAATCTGTGTCACTTAGGTCCTCCCGGAAGCAGGCACTGAGAATCAGGTGTGCAAGAGGTTTACTGGGGGTAATTCCTGTGAAAACAAAAGCGGGAGGAAGCAGGACTGGGCAGAGACTGCCTCTGATTGTGATGCAGATCTGACGAAGTCTTAGTCAACCTAGTGGGAAGCTTCCAGTTGAAGACTGCCCATCAGAGGAGTCATGCACTGGGCAGAAATGACCAGACCCGGGTATTCCTTCCATACGCAGTCATTGGCTGGAGACTGCCCAGTGAGAGCGTGGCCTCGGCTTGAAATCTGGGATAAGCCGATGGTGCTGCGGCTGGGGGTGCTGGCTAACGGCCCCCCATGCAGCTGAACACGCCCCTGCCTTACCTTGCCTCCTGCGGGCCAGGCCGGGCCGTTGTTACAGGCCTCCGCTCCTGCCCCTCCACTGCCTCCCTTTCTGCTGCCCCAGAATCCCCAGCATCCTCCCCAGCTGCCAGCGATCATTCCTGTCTCCTCCTTATTCAGAGAAATCTTTTTGCTTTAACTTCCATGCCATAAAAACTTCTAGGCCAGTCTGCCCTGATCAAAGGCTCCATACAAAAGAGGTGACGGCCCTGGGGTGAATTCTGCTGGTTTCAATATTGTAGGAGGGATTGCTGGTATTTCTTTTTCTAAGTAACATCGTTTTTTTCTTCTATTATATGGTTTATTTTGACATTTCTCCTCTCATCGTACAGATTTCGATCTTTAGTTCCTTCTTCCAGAGGAAGTTCAGGTTGTCGCTCCGGTGGCTAAGGGAAGCTGACGGTAGACGCTACGCCTGCTCCATCCTACCCTCTGCACAGAAGGCAGAGCTGAGGCCTTGTTCCTTGGAGATGGGGATACCAGTAATTCTTTTTTTTTTTTTTAAGCAAAACAAATTCTTTATTAAAACAATTGATTTGAAACAGTATATTATATTTAAAGGAAAAGATTTTTAAAATCTGTATAGCAAACTTTTAAAGAAAGCAAATCATTATGTATTATATAATTTGACACTTTTCCCTCTAGTCTTTTATCAATTTGCCCCAGTTCATAATCTTATTCACAGATTTAGATTAGACTGTTCCTTTGTGATTTACTCACTTCCTTAAAAGGTAGGGTCGAAAACCCTTTTGGGAACTTTAAACCAACTTGGTATCAAAATGCCTCAAATGACCTCTTTGCTTGTGTTGACTTGGGAGCTAATTAAGTCCTTATCAGTAAGAAGGTTGCTTGATTTTCCTGCTTATTTAATTTCATCCTCTCTCTACACAGGCCACAAAAGAAAGTAACAGTACTCTAAAGCATCTGTAATTACAATCTCTTTTTATCTTCCCTTCCAGTAAGAAAGCAAATTTCCATTTTCCCAGGAAGGATAAAGAAATCCCAAATAGCTTTCTTACAATTTACTGACCTAGAGATCACTAGCGTTTAAGTTCGAAAGTATAAAGATTAAACACTTCTTACCGAGTCTTTTATCAATTGCTCTAGTGTATAAACTTTGTTAAGGTGCAAATTGCTTTCTAGTATAGCAAAATAACTTAAAATTTTAATCAGAAAAATTCTTCATAGTTAAAGTCACTTTATGACGGGGAAGTCACAGATTTCCGTGTGGCCAGAAGCATTCGAGAATGCAGTCATGAAAGAGCAGAACCTGAATCACACACGTGTGGGAGTCAGATGGATGGGGGTAGAGGGGAGGGTGGGTGAGTAAAAGAATGAGGAAAGCTGAAGGCAGAAATGAGCGTAAGTTTACAGTTTTATCTGTGATAAAAGTAGTTAGAATTGATTTGGAAAAGGCCTAAATGAAAATTTACGGTGAAGCATGTATCAATCAACTAAAAGGTACATATTAAGTGCTTCCTAAATGCCAGGCACTGCTCCAGGCATGAAGGCTACAGCAGTGAGGAAGACAAAGTTTCTGCAGTCAAGGAACTTAGATTTGTATGTGTGGCAGGGTGGGGGGAAGAAATAACCACATACATTGTTTTAAAAGATAATTTCAGATAGTGATGAAGTTTGATCATTGCATTTGATCATGATAAAAGAAAATGAAACAGATATAGCCACTAGGCTTTTAAAACTGTGCACCCTTCTTAGTAAAATCAGAACAGGCCTCCCGTTTGTGTATGTTTTATTCTTGTTAGTTTATGTTAGCATTAGTATCTTCCACATGAATTTCTTAGCGGGACTCTTTTAGAGCTACTTGGCCATTTCGTGAGGGTTGGCGTAGTGAGCACTCCGTCTTGTGGTCTTTCACCCACCCAACCGTGCACACATATGCAGAGAGTGAGTAAGCGAATGACCGAGTGAGGGAAGACCGTAACCCCCTCTCAGCTGTGGATGTCTCACTTTTTCCTCAGGAGATTAGCACGTGACACACAATTTATAATTAATCTTCCATTCTTAATTTTTAGACAAAGATGTAAGTTCTAAATGTTTTCATTTCATCCACCCCATAGGGTGTATATACCCACTGTGGAAACCACTACCACAGAGAGGATCTGGGGGAAGGGTGACGACTTTACTAAGGGTGATAGGGAAGAGGACTCTGTGACGTGACTTTTAAGTTGAAACGTCAACGATGAGGCAAGAACAGACATGCAGAGAAGAGTGCTAAGGCATAGGTGTGTCAGTTAGGGAGGCAGAGCCTCTGGGAATAGTATGAGAATAAAGGATTTACTGGAATCGGATCTTATACTGATGAGGGAGGATCTTGGGAAATGAAAGTCTGGAAGGGAGAGCCAGGGAATTGGAGAAAGATCTAGAAAGTCCATCAGAAACACTGGAATAGTTGGACAAATCAGAGCTTGTGAGAAAATCCTAGAAGCCAAGCCTGTCCAGCTGCCAATTGGGACCGCCAGGGTCTACAGGAGCTGTTCCTTCTACGTAACTACTGCCTCTGTGGTCCACTGCCAAATACTTGGGGGAGGGCCCAGGACACTGTTCGTCACAGGCCAGCAGTCGAGAAGACAAGCCGAACGTGGAGGAAGACAGCAAGGACAAGCTGCGATCCACGGGATATCACTGTGTCTTGTCAACATGTCAAATCGAAGATGAAAGGTTACTCCTTCACATCTGTTCTCCAAACCCCACACAAGTTCCCCTTTGGCTGAGTCTGACCTAGAACCAAACAGGGAAGGAGATTCTGGTACCTGCAGTTTCCAGCCTAACCAAGTTGATAAAGCACAACCCAGCATCAGAGGCAACAGCATATGCACAGGCCCTGAGAAGGGAATGAACGTGATGTGCTCCAGAGACATCCAGAAAGAGGGGAGGCTCAGGAGATGCGGGGACGCTAGCGGGAGCAGGATCAGAGACGCAGGCAGAGCCCAGCTCGGTGGGGCCAGCTCACCATGTGTTTGACTTCATTCTAAATCGCAGAATTTTAAATAAGGTGGTGGCATTCTGTGCGTTATTCTTTAAAAAGATCATTCTGGCTGCCATGGATATTAGGGAAGCAAGAGAAAAGTTGAGAAAAAGAGGCAGCAGGGAAAACAGGAGGCTAATGAGGTAGCCCAAGAAAGAGACCATGGTGGCCTGGACTAGAATTATAAAAATGTGGGCATAAAGAACTAGTCAGGAAGGCTTTTAGTTTCATTTCTCCAACATATTTTTTCACTCCTGGAAACATTTCTCTGTTTATGGGATGTGGGACACATTCTATTGCAAGGAAGGTGAGCAGAGGGAAGTGCCAGGAAGGGTCTGGGACAAACACTGGGTACACACAAATACCTCTGCTGGGCCTGTTCCTCACAGCAATCCTGAATGAGGAATCGGTGCACAGGAGGTTAAATATAATAGTATCCTTGAATCGAGGTCACACAGCTAATAAGTAGCAGGCCCCCGATCCCAATCCAGGTATCTCAGAATCCAGAATTTTAGTTCTGTCTGCGGTATCCTGCTGCCTCTCAGGTTAATTTGTGAGAATTCATGTTTGCTGTCAGCTGCTGTTACCTGTCCAAACATCACAGCTGTCTGGCCTCTCAAGTGTCCCTCCAGTGTATATGCTGGTATTCAGTCCACGCTCAACCTTTCTTAGAGACTCCACGCTGCACAATGCCTCCAGACCAAGTTTCCCAGACACTTAAATAACGTATCCTGTGTTTAAGTCTCCACCATAACTACTGGAGGATTTATATTTTTTTTAGAGATGGGGTCTTGTTCTGTTGCCTAGGCTGAAGTGCATCATAGCTTACTGCAGCCTCGATCTCCTGGGCTCAAGCGATCCTCCTGTCTCAGCGTCCAGAGTAGCTGGGACTACAGGTGCCGCCACACCCAGCAAAGCTTTCAATATTTGAACATATACAATTTTAGGAGATAGAAAAGAATTAGGACATTTTGAGTTTCCTGGATGTATATCTCATTGGAATAGTGTTACCTTTGAGGATTGGGAAAGAAATTGAATTCCACCTCTTGTAAGTCAATGTTGTCATGAGGCAGTGTTGTCATTTTCCATAGAAGGTTTTTTCTGTCCCCAACAAGCCCTTTAAAAGGCTTTCATGTGTTTATCTCATGTTACACCTATCTGAGATGAAAGCTAACAAGTCAATAATACGGACACGTGAGACTATTAAATGTGCAATAGTTGAAGGGCATGTTCAAGACAAAAAAATCAAAAATTTTTTCTGATCAATGGTTTATTTATTGATACCATTATCTTTTAACAAAGAAACTATTTCAAAGTACAGGGTATATATGCCAATACTGCTTTGAACTTAAAAATTATTTGCTTTTAGAGTATACATGTATATATGATAGACGATTATAGTGTGTGTGTATGTGTGTGTATATTTACCCATAGATACTTCGTGAAAACATGTGGTCTTTGGTTATTAGTCCGACACTGTCACTGTGAGATGCAAGGTAGCTGGGTTACAGACTTTCAAATTATGGAACATTTAGAATTTGACATTCGGTGGGATCACTACTGGGCAGCACTCAAAATCATCAATAGCAGGAGGGGTGATAAAATGTGGGAAAGTGAGTACAGGTTTCCATTCTGGCCAAAGATCTCCCTTGCTACACAATGCACTGAACCTCCTCTTGAAGGAGGTTTCCAAGTCCTGCAGAGGCTAACTGGGCACCAATCATCCCTCTACTAATAGAAACTGCTGCTCCCTTTCTTCACGAGACCTGGTGTGGCAATCGATAATCACAATACAAACTCCGAAACAAGTTAAACTGACAATAAAATCCATACTCGCCTAAAATGAGATTTGAAAGGATCTTGGTGGCTATCTCGTTAGATCATAGAAAACTGAGGCTTGTCAGGAGTGGTATTGAAGAAAGTTTTGTACTGAGTGGGGAAAGGGTGGTCACTGGCTGATCTCCGAAGCCCTTTTTATTGTAAGAGTCTGGTGATTCTAGGTGTCCTGTACAAAAAGAAAGTCCAGGACACCCACAAGTGTTTTAAACACGTGCTGTCTCTTTGTTGGAGAAGCCAAGTTAACATCCTGTCCTAGCAACACAGGATGTTGCATCATCCCTGGGCCCCGCAGTGCTGGTGGCCTGAGGATAACGAGTGAAAGAGGTTACGGGCTTGGCCCACGTGTCAGCCAGGAAACCGCCAGGGCCTCCGACCTGGAACAACTGCCATCAAGAGATTATTGAAAACCTCGTTCCACAGTATTATCAGGCACGGTGACAGATCCAGGGACATAAACTGTCGCCCCTGCTCTCAAGGAGCTGACAATCTGGTTGGAGAGCTAGGATAAACACCCCAAATTAATCAGGTAACGATCAAGTGCTCAGCCATGTGGTACTGAACACAAGTGAAATAAGAGTTTTAAGATAATGTGAGTGTCCAGAAAGGTTTTATTCAAGAGGCAGGATTTGAAGTGAGCCTTGAGGACTAGACTGAGTGAGGATGGGTGGGGAGAAGACAGCATTCCTGCGGGGTGCTGGGGAAGAGGTGAGAAAGGGGTAGAACACGACGTGCGCAGTGGCCAGCGGCAGGCGCTGGATCGTGGGAGGGTGGAGAAGAGCTGGCCTGAATGAAGCCAAGGGGAACGGCAAGAAACACAGTGGCCATCCCGGGCAGGCAGGGTGGAGTCACACTGCTTCAAATGCCAGAAAGGAGGCTGTGAAAGCCAAACAATGGTGATACCAGTGGTGACACCCACAAACAAGCAGCATGGATCTCTCAGACACATTGTGTGCGAGGGCCGCAGGCTGATTCAAATGCAGATGCTGATGCCGAGGCAGCCTGGCGAGGTCCAGCTCAGCTCCACACTGCCTGGCCAGCAGCTAACAGGCCAGGGGCTTACTGACACCTGCCTCGGAATACTCTCTGGAGGCTGCAGTTCCGTGGCCCAGCAAGCCTAAGGCTGCGTTCCCAGACAGCTGCTATGTGTGGGATGTGGCTGTGTGAGCATCTGTCCAGATGTGGGTGTTACTGAGATTGTGGTCTTAATCACGGTCAAATTCAGCTGGTTGGGGGTAGAAAATAAAGACAACTATAGCTTCTAACAATTCTTAACATTTGGATTTTTAAAATCAACTTTCTAGCTTTAGTTACAGTTTCATAATAATGCTTTAAATTTTCTAATCAAATTAGCAATCCTTTGTATTAGATGCCATCCCCTTTTGAAATTATTTCAGTATTATTGCAAAACATTTTTAACACAAAATATTCGTTGGCAAAATGGTCTCTTATGTAGTCTTCTTTTGACGAGGACGTTGAGATTTTTTAACTTTCAGACTTTTCTTGTTTTTTTGATATTTTTTCCCCTTCTTTTGCTTTTTCTTTTGGCTGACCTGTGAGGAGGGTGGGAGAAAAGGACAATGTTTCTGAATCTTACCATTTTCACTTCCCTTTATTATGTATGGACTCTCTTGACTGGGGTCTGTCTTTATCCCCAAAACCAGCGTAGACTTGCTTCACTCTCAGAAGGGATCCGCTTGACTCTCGACTTTGCTAACTTGGAGCAGGAGGCAACAGCCTCTCAGTGGCCCCTCTGTCTACTCTCCTGGCTTGTCACTATCCTTCCCAACCTTGCTTCCCACCTGCCTGCCCCAACCACGACCCTATGAGGCTGCTAATATTATGGTCTACTTTTTACCTATGAGGAGGCTAAGGCTTGGAGAGGGTGCCTTGCCCAAAGTTGACCAGCTAGTACGTGGAAGAACCACTAGCCTGTCAGACTCCAGAACCCAATCTCCCAACCACATATGCTGTGGCCCTCTTCAAACCCGACTCCTTACTTAGCATGTCATGCCGGATTTTTCCCACTTGGTCCTGGTCTACTTTTCTACCTCAGTCCAATCCCTTCGTGCGCTTTACACAGACTCCAGCCACATTACGTAGGGCTCCCCGAACGCAGCAAGCTCTCTCGGATTCTACTGTTTTGTCCTTCCTGATCAATTACTTATCCTTCAAGACCCAAATCAAGTATCACCTGATGGAGGAAATCATCCTTAACACTTTCTCCCGCTCCGTCCCCACAGCAAAGTTAAGTATTCCTTCCTCTATAATCTTCAAGATTCTTGTACATACTTCGTATTTCTCACACTGTGTCATAATTATTAGCATATGTGCTACAGAAGGAAGGAACTATATCTCTTCCCCTTTGTATACTCAGTGTCTAACATTCAATCTATTACATATTTATTGTACTGAGTAAGAAAGACAAGCTCCCTATCCTCACAGAACACACATAGTGGGGGACAGACAAGCTATACTATATGCAGGAATATAATTTTGTTCCAGGAAAAAAATAGAAGCACAAGAATATGAATGAAAAATGTATCTTTAAAAGAACTACACAGAATCTTGTCTTCCAATGTTAATTTCTAAAAGAAAGAAAATTTTGTTCCTCCTTTTTTTTTTTTTTTCCTACTTCCCATATGTGCTATTTTCTTCCTTCCACCAACCTACCTGTTTCTCCCACTGTTTCACCAATGCCTTCACATCTGCTGAATCTGGGTTCAGACATGTTTGGTATCCATTCTTCATCGTAGCACTGCCAGGGAAATAGAAACAAGGTATCGTTCCCTTGCTTATAATTTAAATGCTTTTTTTCAGAAATAATGAAAATCAGTATGAATTTTGCTAATGAAACTACTTATAATAAAACATTTTCCTAGGACAAAATGGACAAACTGGTTGAGTTTTTAAATTACTTACAGGAGACATTTCAGGAATAGTTTAAATATTTTTTCCTTAATTTCTCTGTGTAGTCTGAGAATAAGAGCAACCATTTATAAATCATCCTTGACTTAGGTATCAAAACACTTAAAATATGCATATCCTTTAACCTAGCAATTCTAATCTCTACAAAGTATTAACAGGAAAGAATTAAAGACACACTACTATCATAATAACAGTTTGATTTCAATAGCAAAATTTGGAAATAACCTACATTTCCAACAATAAGTGTTGCTCATATAAATTATGGTATATTCATATGATGGAATACAATTTGGCCATTAAAAATGACATTAGCAACAAATGATATTATTAGAGAAGATTCACTGATATGAGAAAATGTTCATGATATAGTGTTAATGAAAATGCAGATTACAAAACAGTATGTACTATATGATTTTATTTGTGTATATATATATTATATATATAAACAAATGTTTATGTATTTGTATCTATATATGTACATACAAAGCAAATGAGGGGATTTGGAAGACTATATACCAAAGGGTTAACAATATTTGTCACTGGATGATAAGATTATAAATGATTTTTATTTTCTTCTTTTGTTGCCTGCATTAAACATTTTCTGAAACAAACATGTTACTTTGCTAACGTATTGGTCTTGGCTCCTAATCTACCAGAAATTCCTTGTTTTTTTTGAGAAGAAAAGGAAAGGAGCAGCCCAAATTTATGGAGGCACCAACTATCTGAATTTTAAGTATGTGTGGAGGCAAGCACTCTAAGGGTAAAGTTCATACTAAATTTAATGTCCCTGCCAATATGGCACAAGTGTTGGATGGATTTTTACTTACATGATTTCAGTTTTCCCACAGGATGGGCTTGGGGCGAATTGTTTAAGGTCTTTCAAGGATTGTAGATGGACGGTCCCTTGGCCAGCACTGATGCAGGAACAGCGTCTATTCCTCATTACTAGAGTTCCTAAGGGAAAGAAAAAGAGAACACATCGGTACAGGACAATGTCTCAATTTAGGCGATCACCGAAAAAAAAAAAAATACATATTTGATTTAATCATCATTACTGCTATCATTTACTGAGTGCCTATAAATCATCACCACAAACTTGTGAAGTCAGTATTATCTCCATTTTATAGATAAGGAAGCTGAAGTTCAGATACACAAAGTAAAGAATAAAGTCATACAGCATTTAGGGGGCAGGGGCAGGCTTTCAGCTCAGGTCCCTCTGAATCCAAGGTGTTGCTCTGAATTACCATACCTTACAACCTTAGGAGAAAAAGAGACTTTCACAATATTTAATAAATACCTATCACAGGTCAGACAAACAGATATTTAATTCATGCATGCTATGCTGGTCAGTTTCTTAAGCAGCTCCCAAAGCCATTTATTATCTGACTTTAGGGAATAGAATTGGTGCTGGTGTCAGACAGAAAGCACTACTTTAACAATCAATTACCACTTCCATTCTCATCCTCCCTCCTCCCCACTGCCTTGCTTTTTAATAGTGTTTTAAACTTTTGAAAACCCTTTAAAATGTTATCTTTAAACCTTAATTTTTAGATTCACACAACATATATTTACTTTGTACTTACTATATGCCATACATTGTGTAGTAGGTAGAACAGCATAACCACAGAGTTTCCATTTTACAGAAGAGGAAATTGAGATCTAGAGAGGTTAAGTACTTTGCCCAAGATAACAAAGCAGTCAGCAAACATATTAGGGACAACCTCTCCAATTACCGATGAGATCCTTAATTAGTTAATTACAGACACACTTATCAATTACAGACATACTTATCAAGAAACGCTATCAGGGAGAAGAAAATAATTTAGGAGACAGAGCGTTTCATCTCACTATTATGAAGTTGTTATTAACAAACATTTACTGAACTCTTACTAGGAATCCATATACCTAGACTACAAAGACTTGTGTTTGCCTTGGCAAATCCAAGTTATAAACTTTGGATAATCAACCGTATCACTGAGAAGCTTTTATGAGTGACCAACATTACTTTCCAATGCATGCAGAACATTCATCTTTATCTGGTGAATAAAGAGGCTTTTATAGAAAGTGATTACTTCTCTGACTTTACTAACCCAATATAACTCAGAATCCCTTACCTTGAACTCCAATCAGAACCAGGAAGATGATGCCCAAGAGGAAAGGAATACCATTTTTCTTCATAGTGGCAAAATGGAGTTCCACTAAGTTATGCCTGTATTGAATTTCAAGGCTGAGAAATTCTTTAGAGAACATGATTTTGGGAATATTTATTTAGGAACTCCATTTCCCTCCTAAACTCTGATTGGCTGGCAACCTTAGCTGATCTAGCTAAACTGACCACAAACTTGATTGTGCTGGGGGAAACCCTACTCTCAAATCCAAGGGAATTTCTGAATGTTTTATTTCCATTTCACATAAATGGGGAGTTTATAGTAAGGGATGTGAAACCAGCAACACTGGTATCCTTTAGCACACTCACAGGTGCTAACCTGGGTGAAGAATAGGTTACATATTGAATATACTAATGCCATTCAACAAAGGTTGGAGATGTGGTTTCCAGATGGGACATATTAAAATCCAGAAAACCAATACACTTTTAAAATTCCCTTACTATTTATGGCATATTCTTCTGTACAATATATGGCTACATTTATCTTGTACTGCCCACCCCACAATTTAAAGCACCTTGATTTCTTCACGGCCCAGATCATTCTCTACCAGTGGTAAATTCATTTTGTGCTGTTGCTGCCGCCATTTGTTTTTGTTTTTGAATTGTTAGATTAGTTAGAATAGGGTTCAGCTGCAAATAAGAGACTCACATTAACAGTGGCTAACTAAAATAGAAGCTGATTTCTCCCCGACAGAGATACGTGGATTAGTACTTATACAGTAGCTCTTTTCCGTGAGATCTTCCAGGCTCCTCCTATCTTGTTGCTTTGCCACCAGGTCTAGGTGGCTGTCATGCACATGGCCAAAGGTGGCTTGCCACCATGTCTAATTTCCAAGTATAGGATTGTGAGAAGGCACAAAAAGGGCATGTCCCTCCTTTCAAGACCCATCCCAGAAGGTGGACCCATCATTTTCCATCACGTCCCACGGGGCAGATCTTATTCGCATGGCCACACCTAGCTGAGGGCAAGTTAAGAAGTGTGATCTTTATCCTGGTTGACCAGCTAAGCATCAGAGAGTCCGTTACTATAAAACAATGTTTCTTATGGATTCCCCTTACTGCCCTGAAAAAAAATTTAAATTAACTGACATCTAAATGAAATTCAATGTCTCCCTAAGGAGAGAAATTAAATACTAAGAAATAAGATTTTGTTGGATTGGGTTGAACTTTGGAGGGCCACTAATCATTGTACTAAGATTTTTTGCCCTCCAAGAACCAACTTTTGTTCCCTTTGGGAGTAAACAGATATTAGCATTTTATGTCACATGATGCACATTTTTTGACTGGTTTCGATAAGCATTATTAATGCTTAAATAGAACTCTACAGAATTCTTTTTGGAGAAAACGTGTGGTGACTTTTGATACAGCTTATTCATTTGCTTATCCTTAATTTTGGTAATGACGGTGACCATGCACCATGCATACGGTGGAGACGGGTCAGGTTCCAGAGTTGCTACTTAATGACTGCGTGCAAAATACTTAATTTCTGGGAGCTTCAGCTCCCCCACTGAGAAAACTATTACCGACCTCACAGGTTGTTAATACTAATGGCAACAATACAGTGTCAAATGCAAAGCATCATAGAGCCAGTGGCTATTCTTTCCAGCAAAGAAAGGAGGATGGAAACTTCTTAGGATAAAAAGTAAGGCCCAGCACAGTCTGCCTGGCCCACTTCCCAGCCTCTTCTTGCACAGCTCCCTACTCCCTTCACCTTGTCCTCTCCCAGGTCCCCCGGGGGACAATGCTCCTTCCCATCACACCGTTTCTGCTCCATTTACCTGCCTGACACCGCTGTGCTTGCCCCGCATCCCTGCCCCGCTGCTCGGCGGTCTCATTCACCTTAGTCACCCAGGAAAGCATCACGTCCTGGGAGCACCTCTCTGGGCCCCCAAGGGGGTCAGGCTCCGCCACCACATGCTCTCATGGCACCCCGTGCCCCTCCTCGTTGCGCCCGTATCCACGGCGATGTCACATTTACCCGCGACCCTGTGGTCAGCTCTCCCTCCAGCAGGCGAGGACGTCCTGGGAGGGCCCACGAATCGGACCCCGTGCCCGGCCCGGCCGCGTGCTCGGGCCAGGTGCGTGCGAGCGCGGGCAGGCGCGGCGGCGGCGCTCCGAGCTGACTCCCAGGTCTCGCGGAAGCGCCGCCCGGCTCCGCGCTGCACGCAAGCCCGGTGACCTCCCTGCGGCTGAAACGCGCGCACTGCGCATGCCCAGCCACAAGCTTCCAGAACCTTCTTCCGCGAGGACGTCACAGCCTGAGCTTGCGACGCTCCTGCTGCCGCCGTGTGTCTGTGCCGCCTGCGCTGCTCTGGACAGAGTGGAGGAGGAGAACTTCGAAGGGAAAGGTAGTGTCGCCCCCGGCGTCTCTGCTGTCCGTCTCACAGCCCCGCCGCGGAGGCCGCTGGCGGGAGCGGGGAGGCGCGCTGAGGCGACGCCGCGAGTGGGGCCCGCTTTGCGGATTCCACGCGAGGCCCGGGTCTGGGTGCGGCCGCTGGGAACAGTGGCCCCAGGAGGGCCGGGTCAGTGGGCTCGCGAGTGTCCCTGGGGGCGTCCACTGCGACAGAGGCCTTCGGCAAGAGAAAGAAGTGCTGGGGTCAGTTGGGAGGCACTTGAGGCCGGCTCTCCTTTGCCACCCAGAAGGGGCTGGCGGTCGCGGGTCACGGGCGGAACGGGAGGGCTGCTCGGGCCTGGCGGCTGAGAGAAGCTGTTCTTCCGCGTGGGGGCGCCTCCGAGCAGGCCGGGCCCGGAAAGGAAGGCGGCGCCGCTGCCCTCAGCCGAGGCCTGTGCAGACACGCTTCCTGGGCCTTGTTTTGGAAGTTCACAAACTGTGGGAAAAAGCACGTTCTGCCTGGGCAGAAGGAGAGAGAAAGCGCCATCCCTACGGCGTTTACGGCTACCCAAGGCTTTTCGGAGAAAGGGAAACCTAGCGAGCGAGAGGATGTTACTGTGTAGGCGTTTCTCACGGCTGGGAGAGGAGCCAAGGATTATCAAGATGTTGCAATCAACAGAGTTCCCAGTTCTGCTTCGGGCAAGAGTTTTAACCTCTTGGGTATTGAGAAATTCCGGTTCTGTGTCCCCGAGGATCCAAATGTTGGTGTAATCCCGAGGAGCCTTACAGAGCTGGATTCTCAGTTTTCACATGTGTTGCCCAGCCTCCCGCTTCCATCTTTTTGGTTATAGAATCAGTACGATCTGTTGAATTATATACGGAGTGTGATGGAGTCTGCCATGGTGAAGGTGAGAGGCTTTGTACTTGTGAGAGGAGAAGTCTCCCTCATAATGAAACCCCCAGGCCTGGTTGAATTTCTCACGGTGTGGACTTCCCCTGCTCTCTCTCAGTAGCAGTTGCTGGTTTTGAAGGATGCTTACTTGAAAAGGGTTTATTTCTTGAAAGTCTCAGAAGCCCTGAATTAACATTCTCGTTTTCGTTTTTTCCCTCTTCTCTCCCCATGCAGGGAGTCCCTCCTTCCTTGCAAAATATAATATGGCAAATTATCTGCAAGCCAATTATAGTGGGGGGTTCATATCATGTCTGTATCTAAGGTCACTAAGGGAAAAAAATGAGTTCTACCTTTGCTAATCTTACTATCTAGTCTCCTGGTTTATATTTCTCATATAAAGCTTAAGGAGTACGTTAGATCGCTGAATAAACTGTTTTGAGAGAGAATGTCAGGCTGTCATTTAAAGGACAGCTGTGGCCAAGTATTGGCAGTAACGTGACATTTTTGCTCTGTGACTTTAGGCAAGTCAGCTTATATCTGATGATGACATGTGATAATAGTCATTAAGAAGCTGCTCACCAGCCTGAAGAAACATTATCCTGAAAAGGAGAAAAGATTATTATATTTTTACTTTAAAATTACTATGTACATAATTTTACAAGCAGAAAATCCACATTTTTTTAAAGCCCTTCATTTACTGTTTATCATTCATTTCAGTTCATTCATCAAACTTTTATTATGATTGTAGACTCCTGGGACACAAATCTGAAAAATAATCTCTGCCCTCCAAGAGCTCACAGTTTAGTGGGAGAAAGCAAGACGTAGATTAACAATTAGTGTAGAATTGTTGTGATAAAGGCTTGTACAAAATAACTGGAGATGCAGAGAAGTCCACAATCCCGTTTGGTGGGCTCAAACACAGCTGTTTAAGGTAGGTCTGAAAGGGAGAAGTGGTTGGAATTTTTTGCTAGAAGTTGCTGGGGGAAAGGTGGTGTGGGCAGGAGACACGAGAAGGTGTGCCAGTTTCAGAAACTGCAAGTACTTTGGCAAGGGTGGAGGATACAGTGAACAATGAGCGAGTGGTGAGAAACGACATGAAGAGATTTACACTCACATGCTTATGTGTACCTTTGACCCTTGTCACCACACTTAATCTTATTTTATAATAATCTTATATAAATTTTATATGAATATTTCCTTGTATCTACACAGTTTATATATTTTTTAAATGTTCTCTGTGTTTCTAGTCTGTTTATTCCCAGTGCTGGGTATTTGAGTCGTTTCTAATGTTTTGATAATGCAGCAGTGCTCTCACTGTTTTGGTTTTTTTTAAAGACTTTACTTTCTTGGAATATTTCTCTTCTTTGAAACTATAGGGACGATGGTTAAAAACATTTCTATATCTTCTGTAGCATTTTGACTGATTGCTTACCAGAAAGATTAATTTCGTAATGAATTTATCAGTATGTATGTAGCTGTACCTGTTTCCCAATCCTTTTGTCATCTGTATTTACTTTGGTACATTTAATATGTGAATATTGGCATCTGAGGTTAGTGTTTAATTTTTTTACATGTTGACATTTTAGTTTGTGTTGACTTAATATCTGCATTTTCTACCTTTCAAGATCACTTGTCAAGTGGAGTCAGAGTATTGACCGTATAAACCTATGTCAGTGCTTTACATATTTTGATTAGGAAGCTTTAATCCATTTTAGTTAAAACATCTGCTTTTTCTATTTTGTTACCTTCACTTCTTTCGTAATTTTTATTGAAGCATAACGTAAGTTAGAGGCTGAATTGTGTCCCACCCCCCTCCCCCAGGGACAGATGTTGAAGACCTGACTGCCAGTA